GAGGGGCGACTGCCCTAGTGTGGGCCGCAGTCTACCAGACTTGCCTCCACTAATGCCTACATCGCTTGCTGCTCTGCAACACAAGCGTTCTACGCTGCGGGCCCTTTCTCAGGCAGTTGCAGAAGATTGGAGGTTGGGGGGTGAGATCGCAGTGGAACGGAGACCCCCAACTGGGAAATCGTTTCGTTTCGTTCGTGTCGTGCGTGCTGGCGAGGCGAAGCTGCACGGGCGCGCGATAGGAATGAAACCGCCGTTGCCAGGGCGAAGTCAAGACAACTTATTCTCCTCCGCCCGCCCGTCCGGCGGTGGCTCGCGGTGTCCCGCGGTGTCCCGTGGTGTCCCGTGGTGTCCGCCGTTGCTAGGGCGAAGTCAAGACAAATGATTCTCCCCCGCCCACCCGTTCGGCGGTGGCTCGCGTTGTCCCGCGGTGTCCAGTGGTGTCCCGTGGTGTCCCGTGGTGTCTGCCATTGCTAGGGCGAAGTCAAGACAACTGATTCTCCCCCACCCGCCCGTCCGTCAGTCCGTCCGGCGGTGGCTCGCGGTCTCCCGCGGTGTCCCGTGGTGTCCCGTGGTGTCCCGTTGAGTGAGATCGAAAGTGAGATCGATACTGAGATCGATACTGAGATCGATGGTGAGATCGATGTGGTGCCCCGAGGTGTCCCGTGGTGTTCCGTGTTGTCCCGTTGAGTGAGATCGATAGTGAGATCGACAGCTGTCCCGTGGTGGCCCGTTGTGTCCCGTGGTGTCCCGTTGAATGAGATCGATCATGAGATCAATACTGAGATCGATGTGGTGCCCCGTGGTGTCAAAAAAGTGAGATCGATAGTGAGATCGATAGTGAGATCGACACGATACTGAGATCGATGTGGTGCCCCGAGGTGTCCCGTGGTGTCCCGTGGTGTCCAAAAAGTGAGATCGATAGTGAGATCGATAGTGAGATCGACAGGTGTCCCGTGGTGTTACGTTGTGTCCCGTTGAGTGAGATCGATAGTGAGATCAATGGTGAGATCGATGTGGTGTCCGGTGGTGTCCCGTGGTGCACCGTGGTGTCCAATGGTGTCCCGTTGAGTGAGATCGATAGTGAGATCGATAGTGAGACCGATAGTGAGATCGAGAGATGTCCGCGGAGTCCCGCGGTGTCCCGTGGTGGCCCGCGATTTCCCGTGGTGTCCCGTTGAGTGAGATCGATAGTGGCATCGATAGTGAGATAGACAAGTATCCCGTGGTGTTCCGTGGTGTCCCGTGGTGTTACGTGTTGTCCCGTTGAGTGAGATCGATAGTGAGATCGATATTGAGATCGATAGTGAGATCGATTGGTGTCCCGAGGTGTCCTATGGTGTCCCGTTGAGTGAGATCGGTAGTGAGATCGACAGTGAGACCGATAGTGAGATCGAGAGGTGTCCCGCGGTGTCTCCTGGTGTCCCGTGGTGCCCCGTGGTGTCCCGGGGTGTCCCGTTGAGTGAGATCGATACTGAGATCACGGTTGAGATCGAGAAGTGTCCCTTTGTGTCCCGTGGTGTTACGTGTTGTCCCGTTGAGTGAGATCGATAGTGAGATCGATTGAGTCAGATGTTGGTCCCCCCCCCCTCTCCCCCCCCACACAACCTCCTTATCACCCGAAGGGTGGTCGTATAGGTATGGATTTAGACAGCTGGTCATACCACCAGGCCAGCCTCTCGTGTGCCGGCCTCACCCTCCAGCCGTACATGGGATCATGCGTGCGCCTCCTGTCCTCACCTGCATACCTCCCGATGTTGGTGCGCACGCTCAACTGTTCAAAAGCCGGCTTCAGCTTACCCATGCACGACTGACAGCAAATACCCCAAATCATGAAGGGGGTCTGGTCCAGATATCATTATATCAGGTACTCTGGTGTGGGGGGGACTCCTTACCTATGTACTCTGGTGTGGAGGGGACTTCTTACCTAGGTGCATGTGCTGCCCCTTTCCACCTGGCGGGCGCTCACTCGATGTAGTCCGCTCGACCGTCTTTTTTTGTGTTTAAACACTTGCTCTGCGGTGCCCGCCAGGCGTTTCCTGCGGCAGGTCGGGCACATACATGTTTGCACACGTTCACGAACACAGCAGGCATCACACGTAATGTCAGTAGTCTGACGTTAAGGAGGAGGAGGAGGAGGAGGACCAGGAGGAGAAGGAGGAGGAGGAGGAGGAGGAGGAGGAGGAGGAGGAGGAGGAAGAGGAGAGGTGTAAAACCGCCACAAGCCCATGCTTCAGGTCTGAGCAACGCAAAAAGAAGAGGGGGGAGGAGGAGGAGGAGGAGGAGGAGGAGGAGGAGGAGGAGGAGGAGGAGGAGGAGGAGGAGGAGGAGGAGCAGGAGGAAGCGCAGGAGGAAGAGGAGGAGGAGGAGGAGGAGGAGGATCGAGGAGGAGGATGGATCGGATCGAGGAGGATCGCGGAGCCGGAGGAGGGCTCGAGGTGGAGGTGTCGAGGAGCAGGGGCCGAGTCGTGCTCTCCCAGCTGTGTCGGGTCTGGGAAGATCGGGGCTTCGAGCGTCGAGGTCTTGTTGACGTTTACGTTGCCCTCGTTAGGCCTCCTCGGGCGCCCTCGTCGCAACGGCTGGGCTCACCGCCCAAGTCTGGCCCAGACGCACTCCACGAGAGGTCAGAGGGGGAGTTTCTTTTTTTGGGGGGAGGGCCCGCACTCCCGACGCCGTAATGTTTTGAGCCTCTGCATCTTTCCGCAATCTTGGGCCGGGGACCACGTTCGGGCCCCGGGGCTAAGGACAACGGGCCCTGGGCAACGCAATACCTTTACGACCACGCTTCGGATCATACGGAAGGAACCAACGTCTCCATCGATCTCACGGTCGGCCCCACGATCGATCACACGATCGACGTCACCAGGGATCCCACTCCCGATCTCATTTAGCGATCTCACCATCGATCTCGCAGTCTATCGATCTCACAGTCGGCCCCATCATCGACCTCCATGCCGATGGGTCCATCGACCTCACGGGACACCACGGCACTTTCCCGCGGGACACTGCGCCACGGCACACTGGTGGGACACGGGTGGGACACCCAGGGGCCACCGCCGGCTAATCGGGGGGGGGGTTAGAGCCATTGGACTCAGCTTCGCCCCTGCAACGGCGGGACACCGGCGGGACACCCTCGGGCCACCACTGCAGCGGCGGGTTCGTGTCAGCCTCAGCAGCGGCGGGTTCGTGTCTCTCGCCCTCTCACGCAGCTTCGCCTTGCCCGCACGCGCGACACGAACACGACACCGAAACCGATTTCCCGGTGGGGGTTTTCCGTTTCACTTCGAACTCGCTTCCCATACTCCGATCTCTTGGGGAAGATGTCGGGACTTCCTGGGGTCCACAGATTGAAGAACTCACATCGTCGGACATCATGGTCTTTGACGGGTGAGCAGGGGGGGGGGTAGAAGACGGGAGGAGCAGGGAGGAGAGGGAAGAAAAGGAAGGAGAAGGGATGAGAGAACGGAGGAGGGGAGGAGGAGGAGGAGGAGGAGGAGGAGGAGGAGGAGGAGGAGGAGGAGGAGGAGCAGGATAGTCGAGGCTCGCTGTGCCAGGATGCTTTGGGCCCCTTTTGAGCCTGCGGATGCCTCTGGTGGCTCGCCTCCGGGGACCTCTGTGAACCTCCAGCCACCTTTAGGTCGGGCATGTCCTCTTACAGGCGCATCTTGGACGGACAATCCTATGTCCAAATCATTTTCAAACTATAGTCAAACAATCCTCCCCAGAGTATTTGTTTGCTATATTCGGATATTTCTCCAGTAGAGGATCATGCTCGACTTCCAGCTACCTGCATGGCTGCAGAGACCTCGGGAGGCTTCCAGAGACCTCCGCTTGCCGCTTGCCGCCGCCGTCGTTGTCGTCGTGGTCGTGGTCGTGGTCGTCTGGTCGTTGCCCTCGTCGTCCTGTTGCTGCTGCTGCTGCTGCTGCTGCTGCTGATGATGATCTTCCTTCCTTGCCTCGTCCCTCCCGCGCATGTGCCCTGCCTCCTCTCTCCGTCCTCTTCCGTCCCTTCCTCCCTCCCGACCCTGCACTAATAGACGTACTACGACGCGCACGGAAAAGTTGAACATGATCGGCGATGGGCTCTGGGCAAAGGTGCTCCCATTGTCGGAGCAACGAGCCAGAGGCCGCATCACACCTTCTTATCGTTCAGCTTCGCGAACCCACCATTCCCATTCCCGTTCCCGTTCCCGTTTTCGTTCCCACGCCCATTCCCATCCCCCCCCCCCAATCCCGCCACGGCCCAGGAGGCTCCCCCACCCCATCCCGCCACGGCCCAGGAGGAGGGGTCCTGCACCCTTGGAGGGGACCTCCGAAGCGGCCGAGCGGTGTGTCCGCGAGAGGAGCCGTCGCCCTCGGCGAGTGGCCTCGCACGCCGCCCGAGTTCTCCAGGCGCTCCGGTGTCCAGGCGTCGCCTCTTCCCCCACCCACTTCCGGGGTGACCAGCGGGCCCCTGTTTGTCGGCCGTCACCTCCTGGGGTCCGCGGGCTGAAGACATCACATCGTTCGACATCGGGGTCCTTCACGATCGAGGAGGGCGGGAGAGAAGAGGGGAGGAGGGAGGAGGTAGGAAGATGAAGGATGAGGAGGAGGAGAAGGAGGAGGAGGAGGAGGAGGAGGAGGAGGAGGAGGAGAGAGAGAGGAGGAGGAGGGAGAGGAGAGGAGGAGGAGGGAAGAAAAGGAGGAAAAGGAGGAAGAGGAAGGGAGGAGGAGTGAGGGGGAGGGTGCGCAAGAGGGAGGAGAGAGAAGGAGGGAGGAGGAGGAGAGAGGAGGAGGAGGAGGTGAGGAGAAGGAGGAGGGAGGGAGGAGGGGGGGAGGAGGAGGAGGAGAAGAGGAGGAGGAGGAGAAGGAGCAGGAAGAGGACGAGGGAGGAGGAGGAGGGGGGAGAGGAGAGGGAGAGAAGGAGGAGAAGGAGGAGGAGGCCGATGACGAGGAGGAGGAGGAGGCCGAGGAGGCCGAGGAGGAGGAGGAGGAGGAGGAGGAGGAGGATGGCGCTAGGGCAGGCCGGCGGCGGCTGGCGGGGCCGCCCGGCGTCGCTGCCAGTGCGGGCACAGCGCCTGGTCTCACAGGCGGCCCGCCCGCGAAGAGGGAAGCCCCCCAGGAGGGCCGAGGAGTCTCGCGTGCCAGTCACGAGATGACGATGACGATGGTGATGATGATGATGATGATGATGATGATGATGATGATGATGATGATGATGATGATGATGATGATGAGGATGAGGATGAGGAGGAGGAGGAGGATGAGGATGAGGATGAGGATGAGGATGATGATAATGATGAGGATGAGGATGAGGATGAGGATGAGGATGATGCTTGTGACGATGCTGATGATGATGATGATGATGATGATGAGGATGAGGATGAGGATGAGGATGAGGATGAGGATGATGCTTGTGACGATGCTGATGATGATGATGATGATGAGGATGATGATGATGATGATGATGCGGATGATGATGATGATGATGAGGATGGTGATAAGGATGATGTTGATGACGATGAAGATGCTGATTCATTGTGGTGATGACGATGCTGACGATGATGATGATGATGATGATGATGATGATGATGATGATGATGGTGATGATGATGATGATGATTAGGATGATGATGAAGATGCTGAGGATGCTGATGTGATGATGATGATGGTGATGCTGATGATGATGGTGGTGATGATGATGATGCTGAGGGTGGTGATGATGAGGATGATGACGATGACGATGCTGATGATCTTGGCAGTGATGATGGCGATGTGGATTGTGATGGTGAAGATGATGATGATGCTGATGATGATGATAATGATGATGATGCTGATGATGATGATGATTGTGGTGGTGGCGGTGGTGATGATGATGATGCTGGTGATGATGCTTATGATGATGGTGGCGGTGATGTTGATGTGGATGGTGATGCTGAGGATGATGATGATGATGCTGATGCTGATGATGAGTATGATGCTTACGATGATCATGCTGATGATGATGATGCTGATGATGATGATGATGATGATGATGATGGTGGTGGTGGTGAGGATGATGTTGATGCTGCTGATGATGATGATGATGATGATGATGATGATGATGATGATGATGATGATGATGATGATGATGATGACGATCATTATTATGATGGTGATTGTGATGATGATGAGGAGCGCCGCGATCTCCTCGCGGCGCGGTGCGACCTCGAGCGGTGCAGCACGGCCGCCATGTTCGAGGAGGCGCTCCGACGGGTGCCGTGTGCGGCGGCGGCCTGCACTCCACTCAGGCCGCGTGGGCGGTCGTCTGCTGCGAGGCCGGCGGGCGTGTCGCCCCCAGGGGGGGCCGAGTTGGCCCAGCTGCTGGCTGCACCACTCCAGGCTCCGGCGTGCGAGGACGTGCTGGCGCAGCTGACAGCTGCTGAGGTGCGGCGGTCGAAGAGGCGGTCGCAGTCGACGACACGGAGCGCGCTTGGTCCGTGGAGCCCCAGGTCTTCCTGCGCGGCGAGGGCCGCGTGACGCTCTCGTGGCATCGCAGGGTGCTGCAGCGGCTGCGAGATGCGGTCAGGGTGGCGTGCAAGCCCGACGAGCACGTCGAGCGCGTCGAGCTGGCAATGCTGGTGCAGGTGGTGCTGGTCCCAGGCAGCCGGGGTGGCGCAGTTCAGCAGGGCAACTGCATCCTGTGCAATCGCGTGCGGTTCGATCGGCTGCAAGGGCTGCGCACACGCGTGGCTCGCCTTGCGGCTGCGGTCGGCCCGCCTGTCCATACCAGGAGTACGGCCCTTGGTGGTGGCGTCTCGGCACCTCTCGGCACCATGGGCCGTGAGCGGTTGACGAGCTTCTCGGCTGGGCCATCGGGTTTGGGCTCTCTGTCGTCTCCTACCGCGCCCACTAGGTGTAGCTCTCCAAGGTGCATGGCGAGTCCTCGATCTTTTGGAAGCACAGGCCTTTCGTTTCAGGCGCTCGGGCTGGCGGGGTGCCGACGGGCTCGGCCCCACCTACTGCGTCCGCGTGTAGCTGGCGACGCATCGAGTCAGCATGGTCGCGCGGCCGCACGGGTCAATCTGAGCGCCGAGCGGCGATGGACGGCCCAAGGTGGCTGAGCACATTCAGAACGAGCAGGGCGGCGCGGCCATGAATGGCGCAGCAGGCGGCGTCAGAGGCGCAGATCCCCAGGCCGTCTTGGCTGCTCGGCGTGGAGCTCGTGTCGAAGCGGAAGGACAATGATGAGGGCGGCAAGGAAGGGCCCTTGACGCCAGGCTACGGCTCCGCGGGCGCGTGGTCTCAGCAACCAGCGGGTCAGACCCTCGGGGGTGCCTTACCGTGTCCCGTCATTTCGGTGGCGACGGAGTCTGGATTGCTTCGGCGGCCTATCTTGGGACTGGTGCAGATCATCTTTCTGCAGGATCGGTTTCTCGGCGACATCGCCTAGGCGCTTTCCGTCCTATCCCGAGTGCAACATCCTCGCGCTTTCCTCGATGGACTTCGGAGCAGCAATCTCAGTCGAGGGGCTCGTTCGGCCTGGCAGCGCTGGGCCCCGACGCGAGCCCGTGCGGCGATGGGCTCTATGCTCCCGGACCTGCCCCAGGAGTCGGAGGCGACGGCGTTTTCCGTCTGCTTCCGATCTGATGTCTCTTCTACTCTTTGCCTGGGGATGCCGTGCCCGGCGCGCGCGCGATACTTCTCGGCTGCAGGTTGCGCGCTGCGATCCCCTACCGAGGGAAGTCGAGAGTGTCGCACCGTCCGGCGAGCCGATCTTTATATCCGCGGCTGCGCCGGTCGCATGCAGGGGACCGACGCCGAGGCGGCTGCCGCCGTCGATGCGGGGACGTTGCGAGGCAGGGCCCACGGGGGCCCTGTGCTCCATTTTGATTTCGGTGGGCTAGTGGCGCGGCGGCGCAGAGTGCGCTCCCGCGCGGGCTGCGCCACCGCGGAAAATATAGAGAAGGCATGCTGAGACTTGTGCTCGGTGCCTGCCGGACTGACTAAGTGCGCGGGCGTCCTCCCTTGCTTCGAAAAATGACATCACCATACAGTGGATACCCATGCCAAGAAACACCTTGCTTGCCTCCAGGGTACCCTGGGTCTTTTCGGTTTCAATGGTTTTGCCATGTAAAGCGTGACGCTCCCACACCAAACATCAAGGCACGTCCTGGGGTCTCAGTTGGTTTTCTCGTGGAAGGTTTCTTGTGGTCAGGCTCCTACTGTAGCCATAGACTTTCGGCGCTCCGCGCGGAGTTCTTGGAGCTGCGCTGGCCTCCCCTGGCAGCGCCTCTGGCGCCGCCCACGGCGCGCTTCGCGCGCCAGCGAGAGGGCGCCCGGCGCAGAGCCAAGAAATCCGCGCGGACCTCTGCAAGTTCATGTTGATGCCGTTGTGTGTCCCTCTATTGTTAAGGTCTGACGTGTCACTTCTATAGGAGGAATATCCCAAAATAGTCAAAACATAGTCCGGGGGCGATTTTCCGATTATGTTGGGTAATGTTTTATTTGTTGTTGGCTATGTGTTAGTTTTGTAAGAGGAAATGCCCGACCTAACTACTGCCGCGTGTACGCGGTTCCTGGTGCTCTGGTTCGGCCGCCGATGTGCCGCGAGGCCGTCGCCGTGGACCTGTGGCGCCACCCGACACACACACACATTCACACACACACAACTCACACAACACACACAACACACACAACACACAACACACAACACACACACACAACACACACAACACACACAACACACAACACACACACACAGACACACACTAACACCATGTGCGCGTCGCCCACGAAGGGCGGCGACGCAAAAAAACACACTGTGGGGAAAAACACACAGTGTTTTTTTCCCAACCCTCCTGCGTTGGGTACTCGTTTTGAATAGAGCACTGCGGTCTCCACCTTCCTTCCTTCCCGCCTCCTCCTCCTCTCTTCCCTCTTCCTCTCCTCTCTTGCTTCCCTTCTCCGCCTCTCTTCGCTCCTCCTCTTCTCTCTTGCATCCCTTCTCCTCTCTTCGCTCCTCCTCTCTTGCTTCCCTTCTCCTCCTCTCTTCGCTCCTCCTCTTCTCTCTTGCCTTTTACGTCATCCCTTTGGGGCTGCGATCTGTGAAACTGTCGCCACTTTCGAGGGCTGCTGGTGGGTCCAGCGGAGTGAGGCACCACGCAGATTCAGATTAGACCTCGCCATCCCTGGGGGGCTGCGATCTGCGAAACTGTCACCACTTTCGAGGGCTGCTGGTGGGTCCAGCGGAGTGAGGCACCACGCAGATTCAGATTAGACCTCGCCATCCCTGGGGGGCTGCGATCTGCGAAACTGTCGTCACTTTCGAGGGCTGCTGGTGGGTCCAGCGGAGTGAGGCACCACGCAGATTCAGATTAGACCTCGACTTTCGAGGGCTGCTGGTGGGTCCAGCGGAGTGAGGCACCACGCAGATTCAGATTAGACCTCGCCATCCCTGGGGGTTTGCGATCTGCGAAATTGTCGTCACTTTCGAGGGCTGCTGGTGGGTCCAGCGGAGTGAGGCACCACGCAGATTCAGATTAGACCTCGCCGTCCCTGGGGGGCTGCGATCTGCGAAACTGTCGTCACTTTCGAGGGCTGCTGGTGGGTCCAGCGGAGTGAGGCACCACGCAGATTCAGATTAGACCTCGCCATCCCTGGGGGGCTGCGATCTGCGACACTGACGCCACATTCGAGGGCTGCTGGTGGGTCCAGCGGAGTGAGGCACCACGCAGATTCAGATTAGACCTCGCCATCCTTGGGGGGCTGCGATCTGCGAAACTGTCGCCACATTCGAGGGCTGAGGGTGGGTCCAGCGGAGTGAGGCACCACGCAGATTCAGATTAGACCTCACCATCCCTGGGGGGCTGCGATCTGCGACACTGACGCCACATTCGAGGGCTGCTGGTTGCGAAACTGTCGCCACATTCGAGGGCTGCTGGTGGGTCCAGCGGGGTGAGGCACCACGCAGATTCAGATTAGACCTCGCCATCCCTGGGGGGCTGCGATCTGCGAAACTGACGCCACATTCGAGGGCTGCTGGTGGGTCCAGCGGAGGGCACCACGCAGATTCAGATTAGACCTCGCCATCCCTGGGGGGCTGCGATCT